GTTTTGCCAAGACCTGTCCCCTCATTTGTTCTGGCAGGCCTTACTAGAGAAAGTGTGCAACCCAAGTTCGCTTCAGAAAGCTTTTCATCCAGAAAGGTATACATCATGGAGGAAACCAGCTTCCTATTTTCAGGATTTAAGTTTATGCCTAAGTTAGTCTTTGACAAAGTTAAATCCAATTTGATTTACTTCTTTATTTTTCTTAAAATGCACAAGTGTAACCTGGTTTTAATAAAGAAGAGAACATGCTGTAGTAAATAGATTATGAGTTTTAGAATCAGTCAGACGTAGGCTCAGATTTCTTCATCTTTTTAAGCCTCAGTTTCTTTAAATCTATAAAGAGGGTATAAATAATTTTCCTTCAAGTCTTTGTTGTGATTAAAAGATATATATAAGCCGTTTGGTGTTGTATAATGAACACTCCAACTACTTCGAATAACATTTACCACCTTTATTTTGTACTAGCCTGTGGTTAAACAAGTTAGTTATTTATCTATAGCCTGCCTTACTTTAGAAAGCATTGGAGACACTTCTACGTTGCACATTGATGACACTTAGTAAAGTTATTGATAACTCTCTGATATTCTCTTTAACATATATTTCCCTGCCTTAAATTATAAGGATTTTTAAATAAAAATAAAGCAAAATTTAGCATAGATCTCTAAGTATTCATTGGTTTTTCAATAGAGAATAACTTGATTCTGAAGATTATGCAATTTCTTAAACACCTCAAGAAGTAACAGAATGGCTGATTAGGAAATTGATGAAAAAAGTTAGAGGAACAAAGAAGGAAATTAAGGGGCTGATTAAGTTTTCACCAGAGGCTAGTTTGAATGGAAACTCATTAGGAACTTAGCTGATAGTCTCAGGAAAAATTGGCTACAATGAGGAACTGAGACAATTCTCAAGGAGACCCATCTCAACTGATGACCATGTTGACTTTATGGGTCTGTAAAGTCTGGAATTATCTGGGTTACTGACACAATTGTCCACTTATCTTTGCATGTGTATACACAGACTTTGTAAAGGCACATGGGCATTTTCAAATGGAGAGCCTCAGATTTCCTCACAGATGCTCTCAAAATTCAATGAGCTTTGAAGCTCATATCCAGGCTTTCCACACAAGCTTCCCGATCTTCCACACCATCCTTGTCAGCCCTATTTTTTACAACTCGTATCACACTACCCATGCCATCCATCTGATGCCTCTGATTTGCTCAGCCTCACTCCAACGTGCCTACAGTTTCCACCTTCATGTTCATGCTGTTTCCTATGCATGGCTAACTGACACTCAGACTTCAAGATCTCGTTCAAATAACACCTTCCCTTTGAAGGCTTCTCTCATACTCAAGGCACAGTTGGTAACTCTCTCCTTCTTCTGACTCCCAACAGAATAAGGTACAGTATGAAGAAATAGGAAGGACAAATGTTCTGCTGTAAAAATGATATGAATTTAAACCTGACTTTTGCACCTGCTAGCTGTGTAACATTGACTTATTTCCATAGTTCTTGTCCTTGGCTCAAACTGAGTGGCATCTCCTGACGCAGCTTTCTCAATCCTCCACATAGTTTGTATCTCCTTTCTTAAGCACACTTTCTTCTATCTTTTGCTTTCTGCTTCTGGACAAGCGTCTTCTCGTTGATGTATCTTTCTCATGGGATTTAGAAAACTTTGGGTCATTATTTCTTAATTCATAGGCTCATGGAGTATTACCACTGGAAGGCACTTTAAAATTATTGAATCCAGGGACCTCAAATAGAGAACAAGTTCCAATCTTGTGCTAGGCATGACTAATTAACCATGATAATTTT